TTCATTGATACCCTCCGGAGCTTGGCCTACAGTTCATAGCGATTATGATAAGTAAAAATAATAATTTATATTTAAGGTGCTTATAGCCATACTATCAACCTCAAAAAATATTTCAAGCTAAATATTTTTTCAACGTACTTTGATACGCAGTACTAAACGAAAATCCAAAGTATAAGAAGAACTAAAAAATAAATGCCTTGAAAGTCTGAGGTTCCAATTGCGTAAACATTTATTTGTATGATTTAATTTTCGAAAAATAATATGGCTAGCCTCTCTTAAACTTTCATATGTTATAGAGAATTGTAAATTAAAATAGGTTTTTTTATTTTACAAATATTAGATGTGAAATCTTTTTTTCTTCTCTATTTCCCCTTAATTTCTAAGACCTTATTTAAGAAGTTAGTAAGTATAAGTATATAGCGAGAAAGACTCGTTGCTTTCTTTCGCTATGATATACGCGGGTATATATAGTTATATAGCTGTAGTCGGCATTTCCATGCACACCACTCCTCTCTCCGTAGGCACATATTCAGTATACCCCTTCCACGCGTCTCCGAAGTATGTGCCTACATGCCCATTTCCACGCGAATCTGTAGGCACACACTCGGTATACCCCCTCCACGCTTCTCAAATAAAAAAAAAAATATGTGTGCCTGGTTCGACCGCTTGGCCGCGACGGGGCGCTCGAAACAGTGGCCAAAAGTGAACTCGCGCCGTAGCATTGCAGTCAGCAATCTCTCTACTAATCTCTGGTAGCGCTGCCTTGAGGGTTCGATTTGGAACTATATGTTTCCCCAAAGTATGCGTTCAAACCGTCGCGGTGGTACTGATGAGTTTTTATTTTTTTAATCATATTTCAGTGGACTTCAAACACAAACATACTAATTTTACTTCTTTGAACGATTGTGCCTCGATAGTACAGTAAAAAATGTGGTTGGCGTTGGTCACATTTTCACCTTCCACGTATTTGCGTGAACCTTCACCCACATAATGCATTAAATAACGAATATTTGTACATAGTAATCGTTAAAATAAAGAAAATATGATAGGACTAAAATATTGCCAAACAAAATTGATTGCAAAAGCTAATCTCGATAATATAATATCATTTGCACGATTTATTCATTAAAATTTAAAAATAACGACACGTAAAATAAAATTTGACATGAAAAAATCCATAAATATTCACAGTAACATGATTCTCTGCCTTTACAGATAAATTATAACACCCAAAGCTAAATTTAATCATCACCCATTTCTAATAGTCTTATAACATTGCACAGCTTGGTTTTTAATTTTCCAACTGTTGCTTCGTAATTTTCAATTTCATTCCTCATGTCTTTCACTTCTTTCTTCAAATTCTCCACCAACGGGACCATACGTGATTTTCGGGGCACTACGGCTTTTTTATTCTCAGCTTTTTCTTCAACTTGCTTCGTGATCTCCCCTCCAACAACGTATGAATCGCAAGAACCCTCAGACTGGCTGCGCCTCCTGTGAAACTGCAGGGAGAAAAAAAAAATTCCCATGCGGTTAATCATATTTTCTGAATTTTCTTTATAACATCATATACGTTTGGTTGTGATAATGTGTTAGGAAAAACACATCACCAGACAATCGACAATATTTAACTCACACAATTTGAATTATCAAGTACCCAAATTCCCAAATGTCGTTTTTCACGAATTTCGTCGAAATGCGCGTGTATATGTGGCGACTCAGCCGACACGCCTGGCGCCATCTGGCAGGCGCAAGCAACAGCTCATTCCTCGCGAGCTCTACTAACTCGCGATCTGCAGCGGATGCGCACGCAGCGCGCACAGCGTTCTCTCTCTTCCACTCGCGGGCCGGAGGCCGGAGGCCGCCTCAGCTGTGGCGCGGTGCAGGCCGAAGGAGAAGTGCGCGCGGCCATCAGAGTTTCCTCTCCGTCTGCTCAAGACGCACGCAACGCTGCCGAGACCAAAAAGCCGCATGGCTGACTTAAGGAGGTTCGGTAGTGTTAGCGGGGGAAAATCTCAGAGAGGCAAGGGGAGGGAGAGCGTTTGGCAACGTTGTGAATTTTTTCGGCTGCTGGCACGTCGTCTACTGTTGTTGTCGTCTACTGCTGTTGTCGTCGTCTACTGATGATGGTGTACTTATTTCTTCGGTTGAATTTTTTATAATTAAATTTTCAATCACAAAAGGAGTTTTTACTATTCATTACATTTCAAAGCGCGCTACAAAAGCAGCGTTGCCAAGTCGTCTGCTGCGAGCACATTTTTGCTGTTTTTTAATAGAAATTTGTGGTAGGGCTCTCTCAAACTTTGACAAAATATTATTTTGACAATATTCTTTCATTTAAAAAAAAAAAAAAAGTAAGTTCATTTAGCCGTTTTTTATTTATGTGAAATTTAAGTGATTTCTCCATAAGCTTACATGTTAAAATATTGTTTTTTCAGGTCGATATATCTTAAAAACGGTGTGGTTAAACCCTTCAAAAATTTAGCTGTAATTTGATACTATTATCCCAAACGACATATCGAAATTTCAAAAATTTTCATCATAAAAAATTATCACTACCGAACCTCCTTAAGNTTAAGATAAAAACTATACTAAAACCATCTAGGAAGTATCATGAATCAGTGTGAAAAATTTCAACAAAATCGGTTTAAGTAGTAGTTTTCGCGGTTAGCGATTACAACGGTTTTAGCGCTTCTGCTTTATATATTAGTAAGACCAGCCTATTATAACCACACTTATTTAATTATGTTGCAGGTAGCTTCGATTTTATGTCGACGCCACCTAGCGGATTTTACTGAACTAAAGTGAAAAGCTGACGTATTTTTGCAAAACTTTGAGCTCATTTATTGCTATTGTTATTAAATTTCTTAAGATGAAAACTATACTAAAACCATCTAGGAAGTATCATGAATCAGTGTGCAAAATTTCAACAAAATCGGTTCAGTAGTTTTCGCGGTTAGCGATTACAACGGTTTTAGCGATTCTGCTTTATATATTAGTAAGATATGTAACTGGCTGGCGGCGATAGCGGAATATACCCAATTTGAAATAATTTCAGTGCACCTACTATATTCTCATCGTACAATTCGAACTATTCGAAGTGGTTAGCGACTAGTAGCGCCAGAGATTAGTAGAGAGATTGCTGACTGCAATGCTATGGCGCGAGTTCACTTTTGGCCACTGTTTCGAGCGCCCCGTCGCGGCCAAGCGGTCGAACCAGGCACACATATTTTTTTTTTTATTTGAGAAGCGTGGAGGGGGTATACCGAGTGTGTGCCTACAGATTCGCGTGGAAATGGGCATGTAGGCACATACTTCGGAGACGCGTGGAAGGGGTATACTGAATATGTGCCTACGGAGAGAGGAGTGGTGTGCATGGAAATGCCGACTACAGCTATATAACTATATATACCCGCGTATATCATAGCGAAAGAAAGCAACGAGTCTTTCTCGCTATATACTTATACTTACTAACTTCTTAAATAAGGTCTTAGAAATTAAGGGGAAATAGAGAAGAAAAAAAGATTTCACATCTAATATTTGTAAAATAAAAAAACCTATTTTAATTTACAATTCTCTATAACATATGAAAGTTTAAGAGAGGCTAGCCATATTATTTTTCGAAAATTAAATCATACAAATAAATGTTTACGCAATTGGAACCTCAGACTTTCAAGGCATTTATTTTTTAGTTCTTCTTATACTTTGGATTTTCGTTTAGTACTGCGTATCAAAGTACGTTGAAAAAATATTTAGCTTGAAATATTTTTTGAGGTTGATAGTAT